TGTCACAACCCAAAATCTTAAGGCATCGGGTTCATAAGTTTTCTCAGTTATATAGACTTCACTTAGCCCATTATCAATCAATGTGAGACTCCATCACACTTGAATACTCCAATAATCTTCTCCTCAAGTGTGAATTCCAACATTGGTATGCTTTTCCTATCTCCGAGTACTCCAAGTACAAGTATTCAACCCGTCTCTAGCCAACCACCAGGCTAGCTCGAGCCCAATCTGACTTTGATATAACTGTCAGGCGGGTCCAGGGGGAGCCATGGTGGGGGACCACCACCAATGAACTAAGTTATACCAGCGTTAACAAGTGGGTCCGACACCACATCACAACCCAAAACCATAACATATAAGGTTCATGGGTCCTCCCACTTTATACACTTCACTTGACCCATTACTAACGGATGTAAGACTCGTCACACTTGAATATCCCAACAATCTCCCCCTCAAGTGTGAAACCCACAATTGATATGCTCTCCCTCAATTCCGAGTACCCTGGCCCAAAGTACTTAACCCTCCTCCTAATCAAACACTTCATTAGCCCGAGCCCAAACTGGCTCTGATACCAAAGTCAAGCAAGTATGGGTGTGGCAGGGGACCATCACCAACGGGCTATGACTATACCACTATATCAAGTGGGTCCGACACTATATTTCAACCAAAAATCTTAAGGCATTAGGTTCATGAGATCGGACTTATATGCACTTTACTTAACCCATTATCAACCAATGTGAGACTCATCATTCTTGAATATCTCAACAGAAATGATGCGAGAGACTTTCGAGTTGGATGAGAAGTAAAACAAACAAAAACAAGAGTACTAGATAGGCAAATTCTTTCTTTATTTCCTTTTTTTTGGTAATTGAACAACAATCTTCAAATCCTTCTTTCTTTATCTTAAGCTCATTGCCTTACAAGTTCCCTAACAAATACATGCACTAAAACACAGAAAACGAGAGAAAGATCCACATATTCTCTCCATATAGCTTTTCTAACATAGGAATATTGAAAACAAGGGTTTACGGTGGTGGGATGATGGAAAAGAAACTTAGCAACTTTTTCTTTAATTTTTGCGAGGTTGTCATATATTTTTCGTTGAGGGCAGAGTTGCAGATCAGAGTTGGTCATCCATTTCTTTTCATTTTGTAGATACATTAACAAGATAAAATTATATCTTAATATTACAATATAATATTTTACTATGATTGTGGAAGAAATGGTAGTTAAATATCAATAATAATAATTGATATTTTATGTTTATGCATGTATTGCAACCCCATGTGCTTTTAGATAATTAATTTGTTTAGATTTTTTTATTAGTGAAGTTGAATGGTCCTTATTTTTCTTAGCCATCCTCCTCGATTTCTACATCTAACCACACAAACATTGTTACAAAGAAAAGGAAGAGAAAATAGAAAGGAGTCAAAACATAAAATGTTCTATATATACTCTGATCGATACAAAAGATGAATAGTGTAATAAGATAAATAGTGGGGAACTGCAAATGACAGCTCAACAATAAAGCAAAAAAGATGAATAGTGTAATAAGATAAACAGTGGGGAACTGCAAATGACAGCTCAACAATAAAGCAATAAAGGTAGGGTTTTATAAGAGTTATGTCGTAGGAAAAGTGATTGTGTAATGTTATAGAGATTCGTTTTGCGTGCCTTAATTTTTTATTTATTTTTTTGTTTTAAAAAGTGTGGGCCCCACAAAATGTTGTGAGTGTAGGAAAGTTTGTTGTGTTATGTTAAATGATAAAATGAAAACCCATAAAGGTAACTTCTAAGATTAAGGACCCGTTTGGATGAGCTTTTAAAAAATAATTTTTTATGCATTATTTCTTTTAAAATAATTTTTTTTAAAAGGTAAAGTTATTTTACGTTGGGATGTATGATATGAAAATCACTTTTACATAAAAAAGTTGTTTGGATGTTAAAATAAAAAAAAACACTTTTTATATATAAAATTACAATAAAGGAGAGATAAAATAGCATGATCGTAGGATAATGAGAGATAAAATAGGTATGATAGGATAAGGTTAAAATTGTATTTTAAAAATTTATATTATCTTGTTTCCAAAAAAAAAAATTATATTCTTATTTCTGCTTTTTTTAAAAGCAACCAACTACTGGCTATAAAAAAAGTAGCATTTTAACTTTTATTTTAACTTTTGCTTTTTTTAAAAGTTGTTATCCAAACATCTAAAAATTCTCAAAAGAACTTTTATTTTAAAAAAAACAACTTCTTTAGGAATAAAAGTCCATCCAAACGGACACTAATACACCTCGCCTATTCTCGAAACTATTAACTGAGGTAAAAAAAACAAGGAGTAAAATTATAACAAAAATAGAAAAGAATATCCTCATTACAAAAGACTATAATATCCTTAATACACCCCCTCAAACTCACGGGTGTGATGAAAATAGTTTTGAATCCAGAACCATGAATTTGGTTCTATGACATATTTTAACAACAAATTTAGGGGGTGTATTGGATTAGGATTTTGAAAGAATTTTTTGAGATAAAAAAATCCTATAGATTTTAAAAGACTATTTAGAATTAGACGGACTTTAAAGACTTTTTTAAAAAATATTTTTTACAATCAAGATTTCATAAGATTGGATTTTAAAGAATTTTAATAGAATTTATAAGATTTAAAAGGACAATATGAATTTATAAGATTTCAAAAAATCATATGAATTTTTTTTTTTTTTTGATAACAAAAATCATATGAATTTTTAACAAACATTCAAAATTACAATAGTCAATAAAAAAATAACAAAGAAATACAATAATATTAATAAAAAAAGTAAAACCTAATATAACTTTCTCAATCAATAAAATATAATATAATTTTTAACAAACATTCAAAATTACTTAACAACAACTCTTCACATATCTAAAATTATACTAGTCCTCCATGCATTAGCATTTTCTAGTTCATGCTCTTGGGTTTGACTAATGAGTTAAAATTTATCTTCTTTATTTGGTATCAGAGCTATGCATATATTATTATAAGACCCAATTTGTATTTATTTATTAAAATAATTCTAAATTTAAATATAGAACCTAAAGTTCATGATTAAATTTTGTTTGAAATTTTATTCAATTGATCTTGGAAACCTTGGGGTTTTTATTCTACGCGATGAGAGTTTTTTTATCATATTCATGTTTTCATTGAGTATTCTAAGAAAATTTCGAATCTGAATTTCTGGGTTTTATTACATGAAAGTTTAGAAAATTTCTCAAATTATTTTCAATCGATACATTAAAACCTGAATTTCTGAGTATTCATTAAATTGTTTTAGGGCTTTTGAAAAACAAGTTTTTAATTATCTATTGATACAAAAATTGTTTGAAATCGTTTTCTACAGTGAAAGAATTTCGTTCATGAATGTATTGTTACGAACTATAGGATTTATATATGAAAGTTTCAGTCTTTCTTTAAATTGATCTTGTTTCATTGATGTAAAATGGAAATTGGTATGAGGTTTTTATGTTATTTTTAATACAAAAAGCATACCTTTTTGTACCAAGAAAAATCGCTACCCAAGCTTGTAAAATTATTTTTTAAACTTTCAAAAGCTCTCAAAAATATGTTGTTTTTGAGATGGATTATATTAGAATCTTGTTGGTTTGTTTTTTCTATGTTGTTTTGTGATGAAAATTGCTAAAAAAATTGCTATTTTTGAGCTTTGACGAAGCTCCCATGACGGAACCTGGTTTTGAGCGGGTTAACCTATCAAAGGAAGAAGAAAACACTGCAATAGAGAAATCTCAAGAAATCCTAGGAGTTATGGTGAGATTATGAGAGAGGCATCCTATTTATATTTCTCATTTAGAAGTCTTACGAAATCTACAATAGAAAATCCATTAAAATCGTCAGATTTTTGAATACCACAAGATTGTTTTTCCTTTGTTTAAAATTCTGATTGAATACCAACGGATTTGGATGGACTCTAAAATAATCTTTTAAAATCCTAATCGAATACCACATAACTTTTTTTCAGTCCTTTAAAATCCTAATCGAATGTTATCAAAAAAAAAAAAAAATCCTAATCGAATACCAATGGATTTTTTTGTCCGAAAACAATCCATTAAAATTCTTTGAAATCTCAAACTAATACGAATGTAATAACTAAATTTCTACTTATATTAAAATTTTGTTTATATTTTTATTTGTATATTTGTGAGCAAATATTGTTTTATTAAAAATTAAATAATAAAAATTTATAACATGTATGATATATTTTAAGAAAATATTAAATATTCATTTATTAAAATAATATTTAATGTATTAAATATCATAATTTTTTTTATAAAATTATAATTTTAAATGGTTCACAGATTAATCTAGCCCATAAACTTTTGACTAGTAGAAATCTTTATTATTAAGTGTCATTAGCCCTAATCCACATGCGCAGGGCCATATATGTTCCCTTTTAACAACAATAAATAATCTCTTTTATCTTAATTGCATACATTATTTTCCCGAACCCGGTTTTGCATACTCACCGACTCTAAACCCTTTCGTTTCATTTCATTTCAGGCTCTTTCTTTGCTTTGTGGGTAACAATTAGGGGTTAAATAGACTAGGCTAGCCTACATAGACTTATGATCTAGTCTATATTAGGCCAAACTTAATTTGTTACAAATAATAAAATAGAACAGACTTAGGTTTTTAAAAAAATTTATTTAAAAAATAGGTTATAGATTTTTTTGTGCATATCAAGTTTATAAGACTAAAGGCCGACCTATATCATATTATTTATTTTAAATAAAATAAATAAAATCATTATTTTAATAAATTTGAATAATAAAATAATATTATTTTAGTTATTTTTTGAATTATTGAACAGACTAAATTTTTTATTTTTTAAATATAAATAAGATCAAATTTGTAATTTGAGAGTTGTACTCACCTGTTTAAAATAAAGCCCAAGCTAACCTATTTAGAATCACAACTGCATCCGAAATTCACAACACAAGCAATCGCCAATCACACTACCAGAGCTACTTCAAATTAGGTTTTCTCTTCAGCTTTAGGGTTTCGTATCGAATCGCTTCGTTTCTTCAATCACTTCCTTCAGGCTTAGGGTTTTTGCTTCTATAGCTTTTTTCAGGTTCCGCTTCTTCGATGGCGCACCTTGGTGGTGGTGCGGAGGCGCACGCTCGGTTCAAGCAGTACGAATACCGAGCCAATTCGAGCTTAGTTCTCACCACCGACTCTCGCCCCCGTGACACCCACGAACCCACCGGCGAACCGGAATCCCTGTGGGGAAAGATCGACCCTAGAAGCTTCGGCGACCGCGCCTCCCGCGGTCGTCCCCCTGAGCTTGATGAGAAGCTCGAGAAGGCAAAGAACAAGAAGAAGAAGAAGGACCGTGATGCCGCCGCCGTGGACTCCGTCCCCAGCCGCCAGAGCAAGCGGAGGCGCCTCCAGGAAGATAGCGTCCTCACCTCCACCGAGGAGGGCGTGTACCAGCCGAAAACAAAGGAAACCAGGGCTGCCTATGAGGCCATGCTTAGTGTCATCCAGCAACAGCTCGGTGGCCAGCCACTTAGCATCGTTAGCGGGGCTGCCGATGAGATTCTCGCCGTGCTTAAGAACGATGCTGTTAAGAACCCTGAAAAGAAGAAGGATATTGAGAAGTTGTTGAATCCAATTCCCAGTGGTGTTTTTGATCAGCTGGTTTCAATTGGGAAGCTCATAACTGATTTCCAAGAGGCTGCAGAAGCTGCCAATGGTTCTGCTGGTGCTTTGGATGGTGAGGATGGGCTTGACGATGACGTTGGCGTTGCAGTTCAGTTTGAGGATAATGAGGATGAGGATGAGGAGAGTGATCTTGATATGGTTCAGGAGGAGGAAGAGGACGAGGATGATCTTGCTGAGCCCAATGGGACTGGGGGTATGCAAATGGGTGGTGGGATTGATGAAGAAGATATGGAGGAAGCCAATGAAGGGATGGGACTCAATGTACAGGATATAGATGCGTATTGGCTTCAGAGGAAAATCTCTCAGGCCTTTGAGCAGCAGATTGATCCGCAACAGTGCCAGAAACTCGCCGAAGAGGTGCTCAAGATTCTGGCTGAAGGTGATGACAGGGAGGTTGAGAACAAGCTGTTGTTCCATCTGGAGTTCGATAAGTTCAGCCTCATTAAGTTTCTTTTGCGGAATAGGCTGAAGATTGTGTGGTGTACCCGCTTGGCGAGGGCAGAAGACCAGGATGAAAGAGAGAAAATTGAAGATGAAATGAAGGGGACTGATTTGCAACCAATTTTGGAGCAATTGCATGCTACAAGGGCCTCTGCCAAGGAGAGGCAAAAGAATTTGGAGAAGAGTATAAGAGAAGAGGCTCGCCGGTTGAAGGATGATACTGGCGGAGATGGGGATAAGGACAGGGACAGGAGCAGGAGGGGACTCGGAGATAGAGATGCAGAGAGTGGTTGGCTGAAGGGTCAGCGCCAGATGCTTGATTTGGATAGCCTTGCTTTTGCGCAAGGTGGATTGTTTATGGCAAAAAAGAAGTGTGACCTTCCAGATGGGTCTTATAGGCATCTCAGCAAGGGTTATGAAGAAATCCATGTGCCAGCCTTGAAGCCTAAACCAATTGATGCTAATGAGAAGTTCATAGAAATATCCTCTATGCCCCACTGGGCACAACCAGCCTTTAAAGGAATGACACGGTTGAATAGGGTACAGAGCAAGGTTTACGACACCGCCCTCTTCAAGCCTGATAATCTTTTGCTATGTGCTCCAACTGGGGCTGGAAAAACTAATGTTGCTGTTCTCACAATACTTCAACAGATTGCACAGCACAGAAATGCTGATGATGGTTCAATTGACCATGGTGCCTATAAAATTGTTTATGTTGCGCCTATGAAAGCTCTTGTAGCTGAGGTTGTTGGTAATTTGTCCAATCGTTTGCAGGATTATGGTGTTAAAGTTAGGGAGCTCAGTGGAGATCAATCACTTACCCGTCAACAGATAGAAGAGACTCAAATTATTGTGACAACTCCTGAGAAGTGGGATATTGTCACTCGAAAGTCAGGAGATCGGACTTATACTCAACTTGTAAAGCTTCTTATCATTGATGAGATTCACCTTCTTCACGATAACAGAGGACCTGTTCTTGAAAGTATTGTTGCTAGAACTGTAAGGCATATTCAAACCACAAAGGACTATATTCGGTTGGTGGGATTGTCTGCTACTCTCCCTAATTATGAAGATGTGGCACTCTTTTTACGTGTTGATCTGAAGAAGGGGTTGTTTTATTTTGATAATAGTTATAGGCCTGTTCCTCTTTCTCAACAGTATATTGGAATCACAGTAAAGAAGCCCCTTCAGAGGTTCCAGTTGATGAATGATATCTGTTATGAGAAAGTTATGGCTGTTGCTGGAAAGCATCAGGTTCTTATCTTTGTACATTCAAGGAAAGAAACTGCCAAAACTGCTAGAGCTATCAGAGATACTACACTTGCAAATGATACTCTGGGTAGGTTCCTCAAAGATGATAGTGCAAGCCGCGAGATTCTTCACACTCATACTGATCTTGTCAAGAGCAATGATCTTAAAGACCTTCTGCCATATGGTTTTGCAATTCATCATGCTGGTATGACCAGGACAGATCGCCAGCTTGTTGAGGATCTCTTTGCTGATGGACATGTACAAGTTTTGGTATCCACTGCGACCCTTGCCTGGGGTGTGAATCTCCCTGCTCATACGGTGATTATTAAAGGGACACAGATTTACAATCCTGACAAGGGAGCCTGGACTGAACTAAGTCCTCTTGATGTGATGCAAATGCTGGGTCGTGCTGGAAGGCCCCAGTATGACTCATATGGTGAGGGAATAATTGTTACTGGCCATAGTGAGTTGCAGTATTACCTCTCTCTTATGAACCAACAACTTCCAATTGAGAGCCAGTTTGTGTCTAAGCTGGCTGATCAACTGAATGCCGAAATTGTTCTGGGTACTGTTCAAAATGCTAGGGAAGCTTGTAATTGGATTTTGTACACTTACTTGTATGTCCGTATGTTGAGGAATCCTTCATTATATGGTTTATCACCTGATGTCGTAGCAAGAGATATAATGTTGGAGGAGAGGAGGGCTGATTTGGTAAGCATTACGCTGCTCTATTTTATCATCCTATTATTAACTTTACTAAATAGATGTGTTTGTTACTATTCAGTTTATTTATTAGCTGTGTCTTGTTTTTTTGCTTTTGGTGATCTTTATCCGGTTTCTTTCTGGTTTTTATTGCCATGATTCATATAAATTTACATGAGAAGGGAACTAGTTCTTCATGGCTGTGAAAATTACTTATTCTAGTTAGAGATAGGTTCTTGGCTCTATTTTATTCTAAGGTTTGGTTTTTCTTCTTTTAATATTTTCTTGTATGGATTTCGAAAGGATAGTCAATGCTGAAATTTCTGGATGTGTTATCTGTTCTGTCATTTATTGATTTAGTGGCTAATATTGATCTATCTCATTGAAAATTTGCAGATTCATACGGCAGCAAGCATCTTAGATAGAAATAATTTGGTGAAGTATGATAGGAAGACCGGATATTTTCAGGTCACTGACTTGGGTCGCATTGCAAGCTACTACTACATAACACATGGAACCATATCCACTTATAATGAGCATTTGAAGCCTACAATGGGAGACATCGAACTTTGTCGGTTGTTCTCACTGAGTGAAGAATTCAAGTACGTGACAGTAAGGCAGGACGAGAAAATGGAGCTAGCAAAGCTTTTGGATCGCGTTCCCATTCCCATCAAGGAAAGTCTAGAAGAGCCAAGTGCCAAGATCAATGTTTTACTGCAAGTGTACATTGCACGATTAAAGCTCGAAGGGCTTTCACTGACATCTGATATGGTCTTTATAACTCAGGTTAGACATCATTCCTTACCTTTGTTGAGAAGTTAATTTTGGAAATGATGGCTGTGTATGTTTCTTTTTGCTAATTCTTGTGTTCTGTTTCTATTTTCAGAGTGCTGGACGTCTTTTGCGGGCTCTCTTTGAGATTGTTCTGAAACGTGGTTGGGCGCAGTTGGCTGAGAAGGCTTTGGACTTATGCAAGATGGTGACCAAGAGGATGTGGAGTGTCCAAACTCCTCTTCGTCAGTTCAATGGAATCCCAAGTGATATTTTAACGAAGTTGGAGAAGAAAGATTTGGCTTGGGAAAGGTATTATGACCTATCATCACAAGAGATAGGTGAACTGATTCGCGCACCAAAGATGGGAAGGACGCTGCATAAATTTATCCATCAATTTCCGAAACTGAACCTTGCTGCCCATGTGCAGCCAATAACTCGCACTGTTTTGGGGGTTGAGCTCACGATTACTCCAGATTTTTCATGGGACGACAGAGTTCATGGATATGTTGAACCATTCTGGGTGATTGTGGAGGATCATGATGGCGAATATATTCTTCATCATGAGTATTTTATTTTGAAAAAACAATATATCGATGAGGATCACACTCTTAGTTTCACAGTGCCAATATATGAGCCTCTTCCTCCTCAATACTTCATACGTGTTATTTCAGATAGATGGCTTAGATCAGAAACTGTTTTACCTGTTTCTTTCAGGCACCTAATCTTACCTGAAAAGTATCCTCCACCAACTGAACTATTGGATCTGCAACCACTGCCCGTGACTGCCTTACGAAATCCATCGTATGAAGCCCTCTATTAGGACTTTAAGCATTTTAATCCTGTTCAGACGCAAGTCTTCACTGTTCTGTATAATTCTGATGACAATGTCTTGGTTGCTGCATCAACAGGGAGTGGTAAGACTATATGTGCAGAATTTGCTATTTTGAGGAATCATCAAAAAGGGCCTGATAGTGTCATGCGTGTTGTTTTTGTTGCACCCATTGAAGCTCTTGCCAAGGAACAGTATCGCGATTGGGAGAAGAAATTTGGAGGTGGCCTTAAATTGAGGGTGGTTGAATTGACTGGAGAAACAGCAACTGACTTGAAACTGCTTGAGAAAGGTCAGATTATCATTAGTACTCCAGAGAAATGGGATGCTTTATCCCGCCGTTGGAAACAAAGGAAACATGTTCAACAAGTTAGTCTTTTCATCATAGATGAGCTCCACTTAATTGGAGGTCAAGGAGGACCTGTTTTGGAGGTCGTCGTTTCAAGAATGAGATATATTGCTAGTCAGGTTGAAAACAAGATTCGTATTGTGGCTTTATCTACCTCACTTGCAAATGCAAAGGATCTGGGAGAATGGATTGGAGCTACTTCCCATGGCCTTTTCAATTTCCCACCTGGCTTTCGTCCTGTGCCATTAGAAATACACATTCAGGGTGTAGACATTGCCAATTTTGAGGCAAGGATGCTGGCAAAGACCAAACCAACTCACACTGCAATTGTTCAACATGCCAAGAATGGGAAACCTGCTCTCATATTTGTACCTACAAGGAAGCATGTCCGACTGAAGGCTGTAGATCTGATTACATACTCAAGTGCAGACAGTGGAGAGAAGCCATTTTTATTGCACTCCGCAGAAGAGCTTGAACCTTTTCTTGACAAGATTAGTGATGAAATGTTGGAAGTCACTTTACGTGAAGGAGTGGGATACTTGCATGAGGGCTTGAACAGTCTTGATCATGACATTGTGACACAGCTATTTGAAGCTGGCTGGATTCAGGTCTGTGTTTTGAGCAGTTCCATGTGTTGGGGAATGACGTTGTCAGCTCATTTGGTAGTTGTGATGGGTACACAATATTATGATGGGCGGGAAAATGCGCATACTGATTACCCAGTTACTGATCTTCTGCAGATGATGGGTCATGCTAGCCGTCCTTTGGTTGACAATTCTGGTAAATGTGTCATCTTGTGCCATGCGCCTCGTAAGGAGTACTACAAGAAGTTTTTGTATGAAGCATTCCCGGTTGAAAGCCATCTTCATCACTACTTACATGATAACTTGAATGCTGAAATTGTTGCTGGAATTATTGAGAACAAGCAAGATGCTGTATTATCTTACATGGACATTCATGTACAGGCGGCTCACACAGAATCCTAACTATTACAATTTACAAGGAGTTAGTCACAGACATCTTTCTGATCACCTCTCAGAGATGGTGGAAAATACATTGAGTGATTTAGAAGCGAGCAAGTGTATTTCTATTGAGGATGATATGGACCTTTCTCCTCTGAATCTTGGAATGATAGCCTCATATTATTACATTAGTTACACCACAATTGAACGATTTTCATCATCTTTGACTTCGAAAACAAAAATGAAGGGTCTTTTGGAGGTTCTTGCATCAGCTTCTGAATATGCTCAGCTTCCAATACGACCTGGGGAGGAAGAGGTGGTTCGTAGGTTAATCAATCACCAGAGGTTTTCCTTTGAAAACCCCAAAGTGACAGATCCGCATGTTAAAGCTAATGCTTTGCTTCAGGCCCAATTCTCAAGGCATTTTGTAGGTGGGAACCTTGCATTGGACCATAGAGAGGTGCTTCTTTCTGCAAATAGACTGCTTCAGGCAATGGTAGATGTAATATCGAGCAGTGGTTGGCTGAGCCTGGCTCTTCTCGCTATGGAAGTTAGTCAAATGGTGACGAAGGGAATGTGGGAATGCGACTCCATGCTATTACAGCTTCCTCACTTCACAAAGGATCTGGCTAAGAAATGCCAGGAGAACCCGGGGAAGAGTATAGAAACTGTGTTTGATTTATTAGAGATGGAGGATGATGAGAGGCGTGAATTGTTGGGCATGTCAGATTTACAGTTGTTGGATATTGCCCGATTTTGTGAAGACTTGGAGGAGGTTTTGAGGGGAATACCTCGAGAGGAGAAGATTTTCGTAGGAGATCTAAATGGTCATGTTGGTAAAAGCAATGGAGGTTTTGATAGAATCCATGGAGGTTTTGGCTATGGGACGAGAAACGAGACTGGAGAAGATATCTTGAATGTTGCACTAACCTACGATTTGATGTTAGTGAACACCTTTTTTCAAAAAAGGGAGTCACACCTGATCACTTATCATAGTGGCCATAATCGTAGTCAGATTGATTTCTTCCTGGCTAGAAGAGAAGATAGAACTTCTTGTGTCGAATGTAAGGTCTACCCTGGAGAGTGTGTTGCTACGCAACATAAGCTGGTAGTCTTGGATGTTCGGTTCAACAAAGTACGTACAATGAAGAAGAGGGCTCAGAATCCAAGGATAAGGTGGTGGAAGCTTAAGGAGGGAAAAGAGAGAGAGTTCAATGATAGAATGTTGCACGAAGGACCTTGGGAGTTTGATGGAGGAGTAAATGCAATATGGAATGAGATGGCTAAGTGTATTCAAAATTTGGGACGGAGGGTGTTGGGAGAAAGCAAAGGAAATGGATTTCATACAAAGGAAACATGGTGGTGGAATGGAGAGGTGCAAGAGGCAATTAAACATAAGAAGGAGTGCTTTAGATCTTTGCATAAAAGTCCCAGTGAAGAGAACCTGCAAAAGTTTAGATTGGCGAGAAAAAATGCAAAGAAAGCAGTGCGAGAAGCGAGAGGCAAGGTTTTCGACGAGTTATATAAAAATCTTGGGAGCAAGGATGGTGAAAGAGGTATTTATAAACTTGCAAGGATAAGGGATAAGAAAAGTAAAGACCTCACTCAAGTTAGATGCATCGAGGATGAAAATCAAAAACTTCTGGTGAGAGATGAAGATGTAAATGAAAGATGGTTGAAATACTTCAACAAGCTGTTTAATGGGGGATGGAGATACAAGCGAGGTGGACTTAGAGGACGCGTATGATGATATGAACAGAAGATTTGTACGCAGAATTAATACACATAAAGTTAAGGAGGCTTTAAAGAGGATGAAGACTAATAAAGCCTTGGGGCCTGATGGTGTCCCTATTGAAGTGTGGAGAGGCCTGGGGGATGTGGCAATAAAATGGTTGACCAATCTTTTTAATAAGATTCTCCAGACGAATAAGATGCCTGATGTATGGAGGAAAAGTATGATTGTGCCTATCTACAAAAACAAGGGAGATATACAGAATTGTTCAAACTATAGAGGCATTAAGCTAATGAGTCATACTATGAAGTTGTGGGAGAGGGTTATTGAACATCGCTTGAGGAGAGATATCAAGGTTTCTGTAAATCAATTTGGATTTATGCCAGGAAGATGTACCATGGAAGCCATTTTCTTGATGCGACAACTAATGGAAAGATACCGAGAAAAGAAGAAGGACTTGCATATGGTGTTCATAGACCTTGAGAAAGCATACGATAGGGTTCCAAGGAAAGTTTTATGGTGGGTCCTGGAGAAGAAAAAGGTTCCATTAAAGTATGTAAAGGCAATCAAAGATATGTATGATGGGGCTACTACAAGTGTAAAAGCTTGTAACGGATCATCAAGTTATTTTCCTATCACGGTAGGTGTACACCAAGGGTCGGCTCTAAGTCCTTACCTCTTTGCCTTAGTTATGGATGAACTAACAAAAGATATTCAAGAGGAAGTGCCATAGTGTATGCTTTTTGCAGACGATATTGTGCTTATTGATGAGAGCAAGGAGGGTGTTAATAGAAAACTTGAATTGTGGAGAAGCACATTGGAATCCAGAGGATTCACATTAAGTCGAAGCAAGACTGAGTATCTGAAGTGTGAGTTTTCTCTGGTACAAGATGAGGACCAAGAACCTGTGCATCTAAATGGTCAAGAGGTACCCAAAAAAAATGCTTTTAAATACTTGGGCTCCATTTTACAAAACGGTGGAGAGATTGATGAGGATGTAAATCACAGAATCAGAGCAGGGTGGATGAAATGGCGTAGTGCATCTGCATTTCTGTGTGACCGCAAAATTCCCCTGAAGTTAAAAGGAAAATTCTATAAAACGGCAGTACGACCGGCAATGCTATATGGAGCGGAATGCTGGCCAGCACATAGGCAACATGAGCATAAGATAGGAGTAGCAGAGATGAGGATGTTAAGGTGGATGTGTGGTTACACAAGGATGGATAAGATAAGAAATGGAGATATTCGACGAAAGGTCGGAGTAGTACCGGTAGCCGAGAAGATGAGAGAACATAGATTGAGGTGGTTTGGGCACGTGATGAGAAGACCCATGGATGCTCCTGTAAGAACAGAAGTTTGTTACCAAAAGCTAAACACAAAAAGAGGCAGAGGTAGGCCGAAGCTTACTTGGGGGAAAGTAGTAAAACAAGATTTAATGGAGTGGTATATAGATTGGCGGACAGTATGTCTTAGAAAGGAATGGAGAAAAGCTATAAGTATGGTGGAGGGTTAGACCCGCTGTTATTCCTATGTTCCAGATGGTCCATTTTTAGTCCTTTTCCCCTTCATTTCCCCCACTTCTTCTTGTCCCTTTCTTTTTTACTTTTATTTATTTATATATACATATATTTTTATTTTATTTTATTTTTTTATTTTATTTGTGTATTTTTTTATTTATTAATTTATTTTTTTTTATTTTTTTATTTATTTTTTATTTATTTTATTTTTTTATTTTTTTTTTTTTATTTTTATTTTTTACTTTTTTTTCAACCGTTTTGTATCTTTCATGTGGGTTCATCTACCACCGACCCCAATTAATTTGGGATAAAGGTGTTGTTGATGTTGATGTTGGATATTGCCCGATTTTGCAATCGTTTCCCTAATATTGATTTGTCGTATGAGGTGTTGCACAGTGACAATGTGCGGGCTGGGGAGGATATCACAATACAGGTTACTCTTGAGCGGGATCTTGAGAGTAAGACTGAACTAGGACCTGTTGATGCTCCCAGGTATCCAAAAGCCAAGGAAGAAGGATGGTGGCTTGTTGTTGGTGATACGAAAACCAACTTGTTGCTTGCCATTATACGGGTTTCCCTGCAGCGGAAGTTAAAAGTCAAGCTGGAGTTTGCTGCTCCTGCTGATGCTGGAAAGAAATCCTATGCACTTTATTTCATGTGTGATTCATACCTGGGTTGTGATCAGGAGTATGGTTTCACTGTTGATGTTAAGGAAGCAGATGGCGGTGATGAGTATAACGGCAGAGACTGAAAAGGTAGTTTTCTGGTCACAGCCTCTAATCAAAAATTGAAAGGATGCAACGTTGTTCCTTTTGTACAGCATCAACATGCATTGGAATCAAAATATCCATGAGTTTATTATAAAATTTTTATTGACGTGTAACATTCTAGATTCTTACACTCATACTGCCAATAATGTCTGTCTGATATCTTGATAATTGCTTGAATGATTGCCAGACTCGATAGGAACCTCCTTTTAGTAAATTTGAGATATTTGTTTGCTATTAGCCTATATTATTGAAATTAAACCTAGGGTATCTGTTCAGCTTTTACTGAAATATTATTTGGCTCTTGGGAAATGGATACTCTAGATTTCTCTTGCGTGCTCTTTTCTTTAATCATCTTTTGCACGGCATATACAACGAATTTAGCATTGCCATCCCTTCATGCCAAAATTTTTATCCTTTCATGATAACTGTTATTTGGCATTACTTAGCGCTCGTTGGTTCTGGACTTGATAAAATTTGTATCCTTTACAGTTTCATGAATCTGCAAATGGTATGGAAGGATATTACTTCCCTGTTGAAGATTATGTCTTCTTCTGGTATGCACTACACCTAATCCTCATTTGGAATTTACTTGTTGATTGAGAAGTAATTAGATGAAGGGCCGGCTTGGCTCAGCGGTAAACTTGCTTGCCGTGGTGTGTCAGGTCGCGGGTTCGAATCAGCCTCTCTGCAAAAAGCAGGGGAAAGACTGCCTAGAGTATTCCCTTCCCCAGACACTCACGAAGTGGGTATTTGAACTGGGTCGGCCCTTATTGAGAAGTAATTAGATGCTTACAATTGTACATTGTGGCAGGCAAGGAAGCATTTGCAGCAATAGGAACTAACACTGTAGGTTGCTTATTGGAACACTGTAGCCAGCGGGGTATTAGTGGTAGCATTAGGAAGCAAAGTGTATAGGTTACCTTCTTTCTTGTTTTTTGGTTTTTTTGCTTTGGGATAGTTATGTCACTGTAGTATAATATGAAAATAACACTCCTCGGAATTAGATTTTTGGAAATACTACAATTGGTAATGCTATTGCAAGTTAAATTCAAAAGTATGATCTGTTAGCTTTTAATATTTTAGAGGATGTTTTTGAAAGTTTCTTTCATTCGTTATAATTATTTTGAAAATGTATTTAATAATTCTGAATATATCTTTCTTGTCTAAAGTAAATTTTAGCTCTCACAATTCTACCATATAATTCTAATTCTTTTTAAGGTCATTCTGCAGAAGTCTTGGAAATAGTAACATACTTGATGAAAAATTGAAAATCATCTTGAGAGATTAGAATGGCGATGTATAATAAGTCTTGGCCTTCCGAATCAAAAGCATTAAATTAATTGAGCAAATTTTATTTATTTATTTTGAAAAAAGTACTAGATAATCAACTTGTGTTTTTATCAAAGAAAAGTCAAATTGCAGCAAATTCTGAAATTCTAAAACCCAAAATGTGTTATATTCAAATGAAGTACAAATAATGTATTTGATTGATTGGAAGATAAGAGAATCATTGGTGACCAATTGCCAAGCAATGCCAATGCTGAGACTGCAAAGAGAATTGAAGACAGAGTGCATTCATGAGTAAAGAAGTTGAACACGGGATAGTATAATCTTTCAAGAATATTTTTTATTGGCTAAATTACAATTTAGCACCTTATACTCTTCAAAAAACCATCTTCTACTTCTAATTCAAACAATTAACCTAATTAAATTATATCACTTAAATAATTACACATATATGCTAAGAGTGGCATCCAAATCCATTACTCTCGTGTGATCCTCCAAAACTCATGTCGTTTTCGTTTTTTCTAAAATCTGCAAAACCTAAATAAAAAAGATAAAAATAAAAATCGCAAAACCTGTTATTGCGCTTCTCATAAAAGCAATGTTTTAAAACTCAGATCGGTTATCGACTCGATCAAGGTACTAGGTTATTGATGCAACTGGATATATTGTTCACATATTAAAAATATATAAATATATTACTTATATTATATATCTTATCCTTAGTTTCTGCATTATCATCCCATATCTATTCATAAAATTCATTTCATTAGAGAAATAATCACAAGCAAAGATCACGTAGACCAAAAATTGATACATTTTTTGGTATTTTCAATAGAAATAAAATAAAAATAAAAACCAGGTGTAAAAGTCAAAAAACAAATTTTGCTAATTTCTTCCAATGAAGAACCAGAACCCACCCTCTCCTATCCAACAAAGAGAGAAAAACAAAAATGAAACCCCAAAAACAAATTGAACTTTATTATTCAAAATCAATAGCAAATTATAGCAATATATTATGTATATAATAACAAAAAACTACATACACGAAGAAGAGAAGGGAGCATGAAGTTCACCTGAACATTTGTTGGATTTGAAAGACCACAAAACAATTCAAATAACGATCTTTTAAAGAAATCAACACTTAAGATTTGGTGTAAGATTTATTATTCTTACACCAGTGTAAGTTGATCATATATATATATATATATATATATATATATATATGGGTCATGATCATTTTACACCAGTGTAAATTACACTTTTAATCTTTTTCATTGATCTCACTTATATCTAAGCGCTCAAATTTTTTAGTAATTTGAACCATTGGATACAAGTTGATCAATAGTTAAGATTGAGTGTAAGACTTACAACTCTTATACCGGTGTAAAAATATCATGTCCCTATATATATATATATATATATATATATATATATATATATATATATATATATATATATATATATATATATACACACACGAGAACAATAAGAATGAGAGATCTTTAAGTTAATTATTTTTATTTTGGGTAAACAAAAGGAAATCTTAAGTTAATTTTTAATTGTTAAATAATTTGCATCCAAACAGAAATTAGCGATTGAGATGAGGAGTGAGACTTTTTATTTTTACACCAGAATCAAATAATTTCCCCCCTCCTTCTCTCTCTCTCTCTATATATATATAGACACACGTGAACAATATCAAATTAAGAATTAAAAATCTTAATTTAATTTTTAATTGTTAAAGCATTTGTATCTAAATATTCAAAAAAAAAGAATTTGTATCAATAATTCACATAATTAATAAATTAAAGGATTTAATGTTTATACAGTGAATGTAGATAAGTTATCTACATTCCTTTCCAAAACGACGTCGTTTTGGGTTGAAAAATTAAAAAATTATAATGAAAAAGACTATTATAACCCTGAAATAAATTATAATTACAAAAATACCTTGATTTTCGCCTCAAAACGATGTCATTTTAGGCTCAATGTAGATAAGTTATCTACATTGACTGTAGAATAAATAAACCCTAAATTAAAATCACTAAATATAAGTGTAATTGACAAGCCTATAACACTCCTCATCATATATACTTTAATATCAACCAAGTGTTAAATAACTTGATATAGTATAAAGAATCAATTTAACCCAAAAATTTAAACTTATAAGTGATAGATTTTCAAATATTTTATATTATATCTCTCTAGCACACCTCTCACGTAAGAACCCTTTGGACTGAAGTATGGATATTGGACAAGCCCATTTTTTTGTTCTACTTTGTGCTGATTTAATTCTACTAAAAAGTGGGGAGCGGTCGGTGATAATTGAATTCTAAGCAACTAACTCAACTTAACAAGTTTAAACTTAGAAGTAAAGACTCATCAATAGTTTTTATATTATATCTCTGTGGTAATAAGAATATTCAATCTGACAATAGATTTTGTGATAAAATTATTCAATAATGTCACAAGTAAATTAAGTTACTTGTAAGTTAAAATTGATGCATCATTTTCTTTTTTTTTATATTAAATTACTCTGGGTGGCAAAACACTCTCTCCCTCAATATATATATATATATATATATATATATATATATATATATATATATATATATATATATAGTTGCGTTTATATATTTATAGTTGCGTTTATAGTGAATTGGACCTTCCTCTGTATTTCAATGGGTGGAGGATGGCACCAATAGCGATCTTGATTTCTTATTATGCTTCAATGCTACCTTTAAATGCTATATTCTGTTAAAAAAGTTACATGCGCATGTTTTGATGAAAATGCCAATTTATTTGAAAATAATTGCAGTTTGAATTGACTAGAAAGCTGTGACAAAACTAATCATATACTGTCTGCTCTTGCTGTGCGTGAACAAGAGCAAAAGATGTTTTTTTTATCTTGTTGGTTCAACTTGTTAGTTAAAATTATAGGTGCGTTTCTTGGTGTTCACTTTGTTGAGAAAAGAGTTTTGTCATGATCTCCTTTTTTTAACTTTTGCTTTTTTTTTTTAGGGGGCGTTTGGTACACGGCATTTGGCCGGATTCCCGGGAAACTGAATTTTTCTAAATTTTAAATTTCCAGATATTATGGTAAACTGAATGTAAAAATCATATTTTTGAAAATTGAGATTCCCGGACAAATAAAAATTTCTCCTGTACCAAACGCCCTCTTAGTTCATTTTTGGGACTACATTTGGTTTAAACACTTGTCAAATCTTATTACAGGGGAAGCTCTTCCAAATTTTTATTTTTTCATTCGAACTCAACATCTCTAGTTAATGGGTCAAGACTCTTTATTATCATCTATGCTTTGGTTTTTACCTCTTGCTTTGTTATTGCATTTCATTGCAAAAAATTTATATGTATTTTTTTTTTTGAGATATTCCTTTTGGTTTATCGATTTGCGACTAGTCCGATTCAGGACGGGTCCTAGGATCAGTGGCGGAGCCATGCTCCAATCGGAGCTCGGGGCAAAATATTATATGTGTATTTATTTTTCTTAACTTTAGTTAATTTATATCATAATATATTTAAATTATATTAAATACTAAACACCTGCAGGAAACATAAAAGAGTTATAATTTTATTAAATATTTTTTAATTTTATTGAATATATTTTAATTTTTTTAAATAAATGGAAATGGAACGAATAACTTAATACAACTTACCCAAATCTCTTACCAAATATATTTTAATTTTTTGATAGGGCCAAATTATAAATTTTAGCCTGGGCCAAATTACAACTTTAGACTGAGCCAAATTATAATTAATTATATAATTATACATGATAAATACAATTTGTTAAAATTTAGCCCGGGCCGAGGCCACCCCCAGACACCAAGTGGCTCCACCACTGCCTAGGATTAAGGTTTTAAATCCCTTCCAAATACGGTACTGGGAGGATCGAACACATACTCTCATCCCTACATGCTCAGTTTCCTAGTGCCTACTGAGTTATCTTCATTTGATAAATTATATGTATTTTTACTTTGTCTTGGTCGTACGAAGATCTGTCGCTATTATTTGGGGTGAAGGATCTGTTACCATGGTTTCCCTATAGTCTAATGTATGGTGGTGTCGGTTGTTGTTGCGAAAGATTGTCTTTAACATGCGCGTAATTTGAAAATGGATCTTTGATCTTTGTTTTTCTTTATCGTGTCACCTACCTTTGTTTATTCATTGTGTTGTGCTCTCCATCATTCTAGTTTTCTCAATCTTTCTCTATTTTATGGAGGAAGAAGTTATAGTTACTACCTCTTTTTCTTACTATCTCTTATTATCAAATCTTAATCGTTGATTTTCGTCAATCTAACGGTTATAATTTATTAGAAATTAATAATTTATTAATAAGTATGGCTTAATGAGTTATAACCGTTAGATTGACAAAAATTAACGGTTAAAATTTGATAATAAGAGATAATAAAAAAAGAGACAGTGAGTATAACCTCAACCTTAAAAACATGCCAGCGTACATTATGTTACTTTAATGGTGTGTATTGTCAATTGAAAATGTTTTCTTCAGGATATTAGTAGCTTTGAGAGGATAAAAAAAGTGTTGGGGGTGGGGAAGAATAGAGAAATGTTTTAATGTTCATATCGCAACTTTGACAGAAAATTAGTGCATTCTCTTGTGCTGATCTTTATATTTACATTACCGGCTAACCTTTTTAATATTAAATATGAAATTTATAAACAT